AATGGGGCTCGGGATCTGCCCAAAGTCTTCCCAAAAATCTTCCCCCAAGCGGGACGTGCTGCTGGGGTGGGGGTGGAACAGCAGGGGGCAGATTTTTGGGGGCGTTCGGGGGTTTTTTGGGCTTTATTCCCATTTCTGGAGGTTGTGACGTCGCTGATCGACGAATCGGGGAAATGGCAAGAAATGGAGAGCTTGGGTTGGGATTTGCCCCCAGATGGCTCCCAAAATCTTCCCCAAAAAATCAGGAAGTGCTGCTGGAGTGGGGGTGGAACAGCAGGGGGGAGATTTTTGGGGGTATTTGGGGGTTTTTTTGGAGTTTATTCTCACTTTTGGAGGTGATGAGCTTTTGTGGCCAATTAATCGGGGAAATGTTAATAAATGGAGAATTTTGATTCTGATTTGACCCAAAAATCTTCCCAAAATCATCCCCAAAAAATCAGGAAGTGCCGCTGGAGTGGGGGTGGAACAGCAGGGGGGCACTTTTTGGGGTTATTTGGGCTTTTTTGGGGGGTTTATTCCCATTTTTAGGGGTTTTGCCGAGACTCGCGGCGCCGTTTGCCAACTAACCAGGAAAACGTTCAGAAATGAAGATTTTTGGTCACGGTTTGACCCAAAACTGCCCGAAATGACCCCGAGGAGGGTCAGGGATGTTTGTTTCCCCAGGGTTTGGGGTAAAACAACCCTCCAAAGGGGAAGTGAGAGCGACCAAAACGGGCCGGGAGGGTTTTTGGGGCGAAGATGCAAATGGCCAAGCCGGGGGCGCCCAAGCGCGGCGCCGGTTCCGCCCAACGGCGCCGGAGACCCCTCCCAGCGCCGGAAAGTTGGGATTTTATCCCAAACTCCTCAAGGTCACCCCGGTGGTTTTAACCATAAGCCCTAAAAATCACAGCCCCCCCCAAAATTCCCCTGAAATTCCAGCGCGTTCCGGCATCGCCGTTTGGCCACCAAGACCCCAAAGCCAACCGGGAGTCACCGAATCCCAGGATCTGCTGGGAAGGTGGATTTTTGGCACAGGGGAGAGCCCAAAATCTCTTGGACATCCAATGTGTTGGACATGCAAATTCTTGGACATCCCAGGTTTTGGACACGTAAATCTTGGACATCCAAATCTTGGACATCCAATGTTTTGGACATACAAATCTTGGATATCCAATGTCTTGGGCATCCAAACTCTTGGGCATCCAAATCTTGGACATCCAATGTCTTGGGCATCCAAACTCTTGGGCATCCAAATCTTGGACATCCAATGTCTTGGAAATCCAAACTCTTGGACATCCAACCCCTTGGACATCGAAACCCTTGGACATCCAACCTTTTGAACATCTAAAATCTTGGACATCCAGAATCTTGGACATCCAGAATCTTGGACAACAATCCTCTTGGACATCCAACATCTCAGAATTCAACCTCTTGGACATCCAACCTCTTGGACATCCCATGGCTCGGGCATCCAACACCTTGAAATCCAATGTCTTGGACTTCCAATCTCTTGGACATCCAAACTCTTGGACATCCAATCTCTTGGACATCCAAAATCTTGGACAACAAATCTCTTGGACATCCAAAATCTTGGACAACAATCCTCTTGGACATCAATTCTCTCAGACATCCAGAATCTTGGACATCAAATCTCTTGGATATCGAATCTCTTGGATATCCAATGTCTTGGCCACCCAACCTCTGGGACATCCAACCTCTTGGCCATCCAAAATCTTGGCCATCCAAAATCTTGGCCATCAAATCTCTCAGACATCCAGTGTCTTGGCCATCCAGCCTCTGGGACACTCAACCTCTTGGACATCAATTCTCTTGGACATCCAAAATCTTGGACATCCAATGGCTTGGAATCCAACCTCTTGGACTCCCAACCTCTTGGCCACGCACTGTCTTGGCCTTCCGACTCCTCGGCCATCCCAACTCTTGGCCATCCCAAATCTCGGCCCCCCAACCTCTGGCGCTCCCCCCTCTCCCCTCCCAGTCGCGCGTCAGCGCCGGCGCGGCGCCGAGGAGGAACCGAAACCTTGGGGCGGCTAAATCGGGGCCCGGGGGGGGGAGGGGGGAGGGGATTTGGGGCCGGGGGAGGGAATTTGGGGCCGGGGGAGGGAATTTGGGGCCGAGGGTGTGCCGGGGGCGTGCCGGGGGCTCCGGCAAACCATGGCCCAGCAGGAGACCTACGGCAACTGGTTGGGCCCCCCCGCGCCCCCCAAACGCCTGACCAGGCAACCCGGTGAGTTTGGGGGATCCCCCTTTTCCCGGGGCCTTCCCAGGGCCTTCCTGGGGCTTCTCCGTGTCCTTTCCGTGTCCTTTCCGTGTCCTTTCCGTGTCTTCTCCGTGTCCTCTCCGTGGCTTTTGGGGTCGGCGGCACCGGAAGGCGCGGGAAGGGCGCCGTCAGTGTCCCAAGGGCCAAACTCTTTTGGGGGGCCCTGGATTTTGGGGTTTCTCCGGATTTTCCCCTGGATTTAGGGCTTTTCCCGAGATTTTGACCTGGGTTTGGGTTTTTTCCCCCTGGATTTGGGGGTTTCTCTGGGTTTTCCCCTGGATTTGGGGGTTTCGCTGGGATTTTTACCCGGCTTTGGGTTTTTTTCCCCTGGATTTGGGGGTTTCTCTGGGATTTTTCCTTGGATTTGGGGTTTTTGTCCCTGGATTTGGGGGTTTCTCTGGGATTTTTACCTGAGTTTAGGGGTTTTTTACCCCAGATTTGGGGGTTTACCCTTGATTTTTACCTGGATTTGGGGTTTTTGTCCCTGGATTTGGGGCTTTTCACGAGATTTTTACCTGGGTTTGGGTTTTTTCCCCCTGGATTTGGGGGTTTCTCTGGGTTTTCCCCTGGATTTGGGGGTTTCTCTGGGATTTTTCCTTGGATTTGGGGTTTTTGTCCCTGGATTTGGGGGTTCCTCTGGGATTTTTAGCTGAGTTTAGGGGTTTTTTACCCCAGATTTGGGGGTTTGCCCTTGATTTTTACCTGGATTTGGGGGTTTTGTCCCTGGATTTGGGGTTTCTCGGGGATTTTTACCTGGCTTTGGGTTTTTTTCCCCTGGATTTGGGGGTTTCTCGGGGATTTTTCCTTGAATTTGGGGGTTTCTCCGGGATTTTTCCTTTAATTCGGGGTTTTTATCCCCCTGGATTTGGGGTTTCTCTGGGAGTTTTACCTGGATTTCGGGGGTTTCCCTGGATTTAGAGGTTTCCCAGGGATTTTTCCTTGGATTTGGGGGTTCTCCCCGCTGGGTTTGGGGTTCCTCTGGGATTTTTACCTGGATTTAGGGGGGTTTTCCCTGGATTTGGGGATTCTCCAAGATTTTCCCCTGGATTTGGGGGTTTCTCGCTGGATTTGGGGTTTTCTCCGATTTTTTCCCTGGATTTGGGGGTTTCTCTGGGATTTTTTTCCCTGGATTTAGGGTTTTTTTTCCCTGGATTTGGGGGTTCCTCCAGCTTTTCACCTGCATTTGGGATTTTTACCGGGATTATCCAGGTTTTTCCCTGGATTTTGGGGTTTCTTTGGCATTTTTACCTGGATTTAGGGCAGTTTTCCCTGGATTTGGGTTTTCTTCTGGGATTTTTTTCCCTGGACTTGGGGGTTTCTCTGGGATTTCCCTTGGATTTCTTTGGCTTTTTCCCCTGGATTTGGGTTTTTCCCTGGATTTTTCCCCCTGGATTTGGGTTTTTCCCTGGATTTTTTTTTCCCTGGATTTGGGTTTTTCCCTGGCTTTTTCCCCTGGTTTTGGGTTTTTCCCTGGATTTTTCCCCTGGATTTGGTTTTTTCCTTGATTTTTTTTCCCCTGGATTTGGGTTTTTTCCTGGATTTTTTCCCCTGGATTTGGGTTTTTTCCTGGATTTTTTTCCCTGGATTTGGGGTTTTTCTCTGAGTTTTTCCCAAATTTGTTTCTTTTTCCCTGTTTTTTTTTGGCAGGAATTTACTCCTCCACCGGGAAAATGTCCCCGGTGGGCAACTTCAGACCAGGTAAATCCCTGTTTTTCCCCCTTTTCCCGGGTTTTTCAGGGGGGTGGGAAGCAGAATTCCCAGAGGTGCCTCCCCGGGGTCGATCCCGCCTCAATTTTGGCTCCAAACGGGGAAGTTTTTGCTCCCAAATTTGGCTTTTTTTGGGTCAAAACCGAGCAAAGAATTCCCCCAAATATCCCGGAAATTCCCAGAAATGTGAATTTCTGGCTCCTGGAAATGGGATTTTCACCTTTCCAGGCTCAAATCCAACCCCAGAGAGCATCAAAGGGAATTTTCTTGTAAAACAAAGACATTTTATTATAATTTTATCTATAATAGAATAGACTTCATAGAAATATTATAATAAAATATTGTAATAAAAGGAATTTTAATATAAAAATCTATAAACCAATAAAAATTTATTATAAAATACAGGTGGCATTTACTATATTTATGTTTGTGTTTCTATTTTAATATTTATTATTTAATAATTTATGTTTTCTATTTTATACGTGACCTGAATATAAAATTACATATTTTTAAAAATTTATCTTAATATAAAATAATATTTTAAAATTTAAAAATAGATTCTGATTTATTTATACTTCGGTTATATTTTTATAACAGTATTTATATCACATTTATGGAAGTATTTATATTACACGAGAGAAATAATTACAAATTATGCCTTAGATAAAGTTACATGTTTTATATAAATTATTGCTAATTATTATGAATAAATAAATATTGATATATTTGATATATTTGATATTATTTATAATAAAATATCTATGCAAATACATTATATATTAATATAATATATGAATTTATATATGAATAATTCATATTCTGTATGAATTAGGGATTTGTGGGATTTGAGGATAAGGGGATAAAAACGGAGAAAATCAATATAAAGGGAGAAATATTTGGGAAAACCTCCCGGGAATCCCCGAAGAGATTTGAAAACAAGGGGATAAAAATGGATAAAATCAATATATGGGGAGAAATATTTGGGAAAACCTCCCAGGAATCTCCGAAGGGATTTGTGGGATTTGAAAACAAGGGGATAAAAATGGATAAAATCAATATAAGGGGAGAAATATTTGGGAAAACCTCCCGGGAATCCCCGAAGGGAAAAGGAAAATTCCAGTTTTTGAGGCTTTCCAGGCTCAAATCCGAGCCCCGAGAGCCTCAAACTTCCTTGGAATCGCGGGACCGGGAGGTCGAGGGGATCAAATCGATCCCAAATCCTGATTTTCCCGTTTTCCCCCCGTTTTTGAGCATCCCCGGACAGTTTTGAGGACGATTACGACGACGTGTCCCTGGCGGAGTCGGAGCGGGAACCTCGGAGCAAACCCGGGACAGGTGAGGCCCCCCCCGGGAAAACGGGAATTTGGGGGACAATTCCACCCTGGAATGGGAATTTTGGGGACAATTCCACCTTGGAATGGGAATTTTGGGGTTAATTCCACCTTGGAATGGGAATTTTGGGGTTAATTCCACCTTGGAATGGGAATTTTGGGGTTAATTCCACCTCAGTGTCAGAATTTTAGGGTTAATTCCATCTTGGGATGGGAATTTTGGGGGTTAATTCCACCTTGGAATAGGAATTTTGGGGGTTAATTCCATCTTGGAATGGGAATTTCGGGGTTAATTCCATGACAAAATGGGAATTTTGGGGGTTAATTCCTTCTTTAAATGGGAATTTTAGGATTTAATTCCTGGTGGACCAGGGTTAGACCCCATGGCTCAGAATTAGGATCAGAATTAGACCCCCAGGCTCAGGATTAGCCCCCAGGACCAGGATTGGGATCAGGCTCAGACCCCCAGGACCAGGATTAGCCCCCCAGGACCAGAATTAGGACCAGGATTAGCCCCCCAGGACCCGGATTAGACCCCACGGCTCAGGATTAGGCTCAGGATTAGACCCCACGGCTCAGGATTAGGCTCAGGATTAGACCCCATGGACCAGGATTAGGATCAGGATTAGACCCCGTGGACCAGGATTAGGATCAGGATTAGACCCCATGGACCAGGATTAGGCTCAGGATCAGACCCCGTGGACCAGGATTAGGACCAGGATTAGACCCCCAGCATCAAGATTAGACCCCATGGACCAGGATTAGACCCCATGGACCAGGATTAGACCCCATGGACCAGGATTAGACCCCATGGACCAGGATTGGGATCAGGCTCAGACCCCCAGGACCAGGATTAGGCTCAGGCTCAGACCCTCAGGACCAGGATTAGCCCCCCAGGACCAGGATTAGACCCCATGGCTCAGGATTAGGATCAGGATTAGACCCCCAGGACCAGGATTGGGATCAGGATTAGACCCCCAGGACCAGGATTAACCCCCCAGGACCAGGATTAGCCCCCCAGGACCAGGATTAGGATCAGGCTCAGACCCCCAGGACCAGGATTAGGACCAGGATTAGACCCCCAGGACCAGGATTGGGATCAGGATTAGACCCCCAGGCTCAGGCTCAGACCCCCAGGACCAGGATTAGGACCAGGATTATCCCCCAGGACCAGGATTAGGACCAGGATTAGCCCCCAGGACCAGGATTAGGACCAGGATTATCCCCCCAGGACCAGGATTAGCCCCCCAGGACCAGGATTAGCCCCCAGGACCAGGATTAGGATCAGGCTCAGACCCCCAGGACCAGGATTAGGACCAGGATTATCCCCCCAGCCCAGGCTTTGCCCCCTAATCCCGGTTTCCCTCCCCAGTTTACACCCTGGCGGGGTCTCCAAACCCTTCCCGGGCCGGACCCTCCCCCTCCATCGGAGCCGGAGCCGCTTTTCCCGGGAAAGCCGAGCTGGAGCCGGAGCCCCAAGGCCGGGACTGGGATCGGGATCGGGACCGGGATCGGGACCGGGATCAGGATCGGGATCGGGATCGGGATCGGGATCGGGATCGGGGCCGGGCTCTGTGCCGGGGCCGCGCCGGGGCCGCTCTGTCCGTGTCCGTGTCCGTGTCCGTCCTGCTGGGGCTGAGCCTCCTGGGCTGGGCCCTGCTCCTCACCCTGGGCCTGGCAAAGCGTGAGTGGGGCTGGAAAACCGGGATGGGGCGGGAAAAACCGGGATGGGGCAGGAAAAACCGGGATGGGGCAGGAATGGGATCGGGATCAGGATCGGGACCAGGCTCTGTGCCGGGGCCGCTCTGTCCGTCCTGCTGGGGCTGAGCCTCCTGGGCTGGGCCCTGCTCCTCACCCTGGGCCTGCAAAAACGTGAGTGGGGCTGGAAAACCGGGATGGGGCGGGAAAAACCGGGATGGGGCAGGAAAAACCGGGATGGGGCTGGAAAAACCGGGATGGGGCTGGAAAAAACGGGATGGGGCAGGAAAAACCGGAATGGGGTGGGAACGGGAGCAGGACCGGGAATGGGGGAGAAAGGGCCCCAAAGACGGGCGGGTTCTGCCTCTAACCTGGGAATTGGGGGGGTAATTCCAGCTCCAAAGGGGAATTTTAGGGTTAATTCCACACTGGAATGGGAATTTGAGGGTTAATTCCACACTGGAATGGGAATTTGAGGGTTAATTCCACACTGGAATGGGAATTTGAGGGTTAATTCCGGCTCCAAGTGGGGATTCCAGGGTTGGTTCCAGCTCAAAGGGGGAATTTGAGGGTTAATTCCACTCTGGAATGGGAATTTTAGGGTGAATTCCAGCTCAACATGGGAATTTTAGGGTTAATTCCACACTGGAATGGGGATTTTAGGGTTAATTCCAAATGGAAATAGGAATTTTGGGGGTTAATTCCACACGGAAATAGGAATTTTAGGGTTAATTCCAGTTCAAAGTTGGAATTTGAGGGTTGATTCCACACTGGAATGGGAATTTTGGGGTTAATTCCAGTTAAAAATTGGAATTTTAGGGTTAATTCCAACTTTAAAATAGGAATTTTAGGGTTAATTCCAGCTCAAAGTGGGAATTTTAGGGTTGATTCCACACTGGAATGGGAATTTTAGGGACAATTCCACACTGGAATGGGAATTGTAGGGTTAATTCCAGCCCCAAATGGGATTTTAGAGTGAATTCCACAGTGAAATGGGAATCTTAGGGTGAATTCCAGCTCAAAATGGGAATTTTAAGGTTAATTCCACACAGAAATGGGAATTTTAGGCTTGATTCCAGCTCAAAGTGGGAATTTTGGGATTAATTCCACCCCAGTGTCTGAATTTCGGGGTTAATTCCATCTTGGAATGGGAATTTCAGGGTGAATTCCAGCTCAACATGGGAATTTTAGGGTTAATTCCACACTGAAATGGGAATTTTAGGGACAATTCCAGATTAAAACGGGAATTTGAGGGTTGATTTCAGCTCCAAATGGGATTTTCGAGTTAATTCCAGATTAAAACGGGATTTTAGGGTTAATTCCACCTTTAAAATGGGGATTTTAAGGTTTAATTCTACCTTGGGATGGGAATTTTCGGGTGAATTCCATCCTGGAATGGGAATTTTTGGGTTATTTCCAGCTAAAAATGGGAATGCTGAGGTTTCATCCCAGCTCCAAATGGGAATTTCAGGCTTTAATTCCACCCATAAAATGGGAATTTCAGGATTGATTCCAGCTCAAAATGGGGATTTTAAGGTTTAATTCTACCTTGGGATGGGAATTTTCGGGTGAATTCCATCCTGGAATGGGAATTTTTGGGTTATTTCCGGCTAAAAACGGGAATGCTGAGGTTTCATCCCAGCTCCAGATGGAATTTCAGGCTTTAATTCCACCCATAAAATGGGAATTTCCGGGTTTCCCACCCCCCCTTCCCTGCAGGATTCAATCCCAGAGGAAATTCCCCCCCCCTGGAATTCCCCCCTCGAAAATCCCCCCCCGGAATTCCCCGTTTGGCCCCAAAATGGGACAAATTCCGGGAATTCCTGGGGATCCCCCTGGGGCCTTTTCCTTCCTTTTCCCTCCAGACCGAGAGATTTGGGAGGAGTTGCAGCTCCTGAGGTCCAACTGCTCGGAAAACCAGGAATCCGGTGAGTCCTCGGCATCCCAGACCCCGGGAATTCCTCGGGAAACGCCCGTTTGGGGGGAGATTTTGCCCATTTCCCGGCGGGTTTTTGGTGCAAATTAAGGGAAAAACCGGAATTGTCTTCCCCAAATCCCCCAATTCTGCTCCGTCTGTTCGGGATCCCGGCGGGAATTCCAAGGGGAACGGGGCAGCTCGTCCCAAATCCTGAAGGAATTCGCCCCAAAATGTTGGGAATTGGAGGGAATCCCCCCCCCCTCGGGGTTTTCTGGGATTTCTCCCCGTTGGGATTTTATTGGAAAAGGGGGAAAATCCGCCCCCTTTTCCCCGGGGAAAGTTACGGGAAGGACGGAAATCCACCGGAAAATCCGGGAGAAACCCGCTGTGCTTGGGAAAATCCGGGATTGTCGCCGGAGAATCGGGGAATTCTGGGATGGTTTTGGGGGGATTTGGCGGGAAAATGTCCCCGAAAATTCCCTGTTCCCAGAAAATCCTGGAATTCCGGGCTCGGAAAAGGGGCCTGGGGGCTTTTCCAGCCGGGATTGAGGTTCCAGGGATGGAAAAGGGACAAATCCCGGGGGGAAAAGCTCTGGGATCGGGAAAAGGGGGAGGGAATGGTGGGGGCTGCTCGGCCTGCTGGGAACTGGGAGGGAACTGGGAGCACTGGGAGGGCACTGGGATGGACTGGGAGGGAACTGGGATATAGTGGGAGGGAACTGGGAGCGCTGGGAGGGAACTGGGATATACTGGGAGGGAACTGGGAGCGCTGGGAGGGAAGTGGGATGTGCTGGGAGGGAACTGGGAGCACTGGGAGGGAACTGGGATATACTGGGAGGGAACTGGGAGCACTGAGAGGGAACTGGGATGTACTGGGAGGGAACTGGGATATACTGGGAGGGAACTGGGAGCACTGGGAGCACTGGGAGGGCGCTGGGATGGACTGAGAGGTCCCTGGGTGTTACTGGTCCATACTGGGACCGTTATTCCCAGTGTTCCGGGAGCTGGCAGTGGCGCAGTGGCAGCAGACTGGGATGGACTGGGAGGGCACTGGGCTGTACTGGGAAGTCCCTGGGAGGTCCCTGGGAGGTCCCTGGGTTACTGGTCCATACTGGTTCATACTGGTCGCAGTGCTGCGGGAGCTGGCGGCGGCGCAGCGGCGGCAGACTGGGATGGACTGGGATGGACTGGGATGGACTGGGAGGTCCCTGGGAGGGCAGTGGGTGTTACTGGTCCATCCTGGTCCATCCTGGTCCATCCTGGTCCATACTGGTCCATCCTGGTCCCAGTGCTGCGGGAGCTGGCGGCGGCGCAGCGACGGCAGACTGGGATGGACTGGGATGGACTGGGATGGACTGGGATGGAATGGGAGGTCCCTGGGAGGTCCCTGGGTTACCGGTCCATACTGGTCCATACTGGTCCCAGTGCTGCAGGAGCTGGCGGCGGTGCAGCGACAGCAGACTGGGATGGACTGGGATGGACTGGGATGGACTGGGAGGTCCCTGGGAGGGCAGTGGGTGTTACTGGTCCGTACTGGTCCATCCTGGTCCATCCTGGTCCATCCTGGTCCGTACTGGTCCCAGTGCTGCGGGAGCTGGCAGCGGCACAGCGGCGGCAGACTGGGATGGACTGGGATGGACTGGGATGGACTGGGAGGTCCCTGGGAGGTCCCTGGGTGTTACTGGTCCATCCTGGTCCATCCTGGTCCATCCTGATCCATACTGGTCCGTACTGGTCCATACTGGTCCCAGTGCTGCGGGAGCTGGCGGCGGCGCAGCGGCGGCAGACTGGGATGGACTGGGAGCACTGGGATGGACTGGGATGGACTGGGAGGTCCCTGGGAGGGCAGTGGGTGTTACTGGTCCGTACTGGTCCGTACTGGTCCATACTGGTCCCAGTGCTGCGGGAGCTGGCGGCGGCGCAGCGACAGCAGACTGGGATGGACTGGGATGGACTGGGCTGTACTGGGAGGTCCCTGGGAGGTCCCTGGGAGGGCAGTGGGTGTTACTGGTCCGTACTGGTCCATACTGGTCCATACTGGTCCCAGTGCTGCGGGAGCTGGCGGCAGCGCAGCGGCGGCAGACTGGGATGGACTGGGATGGACTGGGATGGACTGGGATGGACTGGGAGGTCCCTGAGAGGTCCCTGGGAGGGCAGTGGGTGTTACTGGTCCGTACTGGTCCATACTGGTCCGTACTGGTCCGTACTGGTCCATACTGGTCCCAGTGCTGCGGGAGCTGGCGGCGGCGCAGCGACGGCAGACGCGGCTCCGGGGGTGGATCCAGCAGCACTTCCAGGAGCTCCAGGAGGTCACAGGTGATTCCCGGGAATTCCCACCTGGAACTCCGGCATTCCCGCCTGGAACTCCGGCATTCCCGCCTGGAACTCCAGGATTCCCGCCTGGAATTCCCTCCCCAAAACTCCCGGGGGGGGGGGGGGGGGGCGAAAACAGGGAAAACTGGGGAGGTTTTATGGGATTTTTCCCTGGATTTAGGGGGGTTTCCCTGGATTTGGGCATTTCCTGGGATTTGGGGGTTTCTCCAGGGTTTTCCCTGGATTTTTTTTGGGGGGGGGAGGGGTTTCCCTGGATTTGGGGGGCTTTTGTCCAGATTCAGGGGGTTCTCTGGGATTTTTCCCTGGATTTGGGGAATTTCTCCTGATTTTCCCCCTGGATTTGTGATTTTCTCTGGGATTTTCCCCTGGAGTCAGGAATTTCTCCATGTTTTTCCCTGAATTTTTTTATCTTGCTTTTGGGGCTTTCCCGGGATTTCCCCCGGGGTTGGGGTGTTTCTGGGGGTGTTTCTCCAGGATTTTCCCCCTGGGGGGGGAGGGGGGAGTTTTTTGGGGGGCATTCCCAGTCTTTGGCATTCTTATTGGGATTTCCCTCTGGATTTTGGGAATTTCTCCTGATTTCCCCCCTGTTTTTTTCCCCCTGGATTTTGGGAATTTCTCCTGATTTTCCCCCCTGGATTTTGGGAATTTCTCCTGATTTTCCCCCCTGGATTTTGGGAATTTCTCCTGATTCTCCCCCAAATTTTGGGAATTTCTCCTGATTTTCCCCCCTGGATTTTGGGAATTTTCTCCCTGATTCTCCCCCAAATTTTGGGACTTTCTCCGGATTTTCCCCCTGGGATTTTTGGGATTTCTCCTGGATTTACCCCCTGGATTTTGGAATTTCTCCTGATTTTCCCCCCTGGATTTTGGGAATTTCTCCTGATTTCCCCCCCTGGATTTTGGGAATTTCTCCTGATTTCCCCCCCTGGATTTTGGGGATTTCTCCTGATTTTCCCCCCTGGATTTTGGGAATTTCTCCTGATTTTCCCCCCCTGGCTTTTAGGAATTTCTCCTGATTTCCCCCCTGGATTTTGGGAATTTCTCCTGATTTTCCCCCCTGGATTTTGGGAATTTCTCCTGATTCTCCCCCCTGGATTTTGGGAATTTCTCCTGATTTTCCCCCCTGGATTTTGGGAATTTCTCCTGATTCTCCCCCAAATTTTGGGAATTTCTCCTGCTTCCCCCTGTTTTCCCCCTGCATTCTCTCACTCCCGGCCGCTGGCTTTGGGAATTCCCGGCATTCCAGGGCTGCTGTGCCGGAGCCTGGAGGGCTCCCGGCGCTGCTCGGCGGGGTGGCAACTTTTTGGGAAGAGCTGCTACTCCTTTTCCTGGGAATCCTGGAGCTGGGAGGAGGCTCGGGACGCCTGTGCCGACCTGGGCTCCCACCTGGTCGTCGTCAACTCCGAGGAAGAGCAGGTTCGGGAAAACATTCCCGGGATTTACTCCCCGTTTCCCACCCCCCAAGGTCCCCGCCCTGGAATTCCCACCCTGAAATTTTCCTACTCCGGGATTCCCATTCTGGGATTCCCACCCCAGAATTCCCACCCTGAAGTTTTCCCACCCTGGAATTCCCACCCTGGAATTCCCACCCTGAAATTTTCCTACTCTGGGATTCCCATCCTGGGATTCCCACCCCGGAATTCCCACCCTGAAGTTTTCCCACCCTGGAATTCCCGCCCTGGAATTCCCGCTCCCACCACGGAAAATTGTGGAAATAATGGAAACAATAATCGATTCTATGTCGTGGAATTCCCGCCCTGGAATTCCCACCCTGGAATTTCCACCCTGAAATTTTCCTACCCTGGAATTCCCACCCTGGAATTCCCGCTCCCACCACGGAAAATTATGGAAATAATGGAAATAATAATCCATGAGACG